GGGCAAAAAGCTATGTTACGTGATGGGGAAATAAGAAACGGAAAACAATGATATCACTTGGCTTCTTCTGGTCTTCATGCACAACAATTAAATCAGTGTAAGAGCGGGCTATAGATTGCTTGACAACTTTTTTCAATGGAACTCCTTTGCGAGAGAAAATCTCAGCGTTTGGAATACACTTTTGCAGTTCGAAACAGAACTTCCATGTAGTCTGCAATAGAAAAAAGAATCGAAAGCATGATTTAATATCAGCATAAAATAGTTGAGATAACGATACCTTCTTCGCAAATGGCGACATTGTTATTAGAACCTTTGGTGTCGTTTCGCGATTAAAGTACGCTGCAAACTCGTCATGAGCTTCATCATGCTCTATCTTGAAAAAGAAGCAAAATTTATATTTTCGATAAAATAATACATACTGAAAGTGATTAGCTGACCTCTTCATCGTTATCTTGGACCATTGTCACATCGTATTCTCTAGTGCTCTCAATTGTTTTCGGCACTTCTTTCGGCGGTGCTGCATCTCCGAGAGTTTCTCGCAATTTTTCCCGTTCAGCTTGTCGAGCGCGCTTATTCTGCATGGACCAAATCATAACGCAAAAAAAAAAACACAACAAATGTTAGACTGAATCAAAGTGAAAAAAGAAATGTCAAGTTTACTAACCTTTTTCAGTGCTTTTCGGAGAGCAACTCCGCGTTCTGTTTTAGGGAGGTGTTTGAACTCATCCTTTGTAACAGTTGGTGTCTTTTTCACCTGAAAAAGAGGAACAGTTTCCATTCATATAAAGACGCGATACCAAAGGTGCTTAATTTCCTCTGAAAGATTTATTAGGCGCAGATCTAATGTGAAGCGTGGCACCACTTCCTACCGCATTCGCCCGTACAGTCGCAAATGTATTTGCACACAGCAAAGAAAATGGTGCGTTCTAATGGAGCATGTACGACACGCAGCGCGTTAATATTGTGCGCGATAGAACTTTCAGGGCATACCGAAAATGTGTACCATCGAATAAAGGGTAGCACACACTTTATATTTTACTTTTACTTTTTATACTTTGTACTTTTTGAAGCTCATCATTCTATTTAAAATAAAACTGAACAAAGGAGTTTAAAGTACAAGTCCCTTAAAACTTTACCAATTAAGTCACAACAGGTTTGAAGTGAAAATGCAATTATCCGAAATAATATCAAGTGCCTAAGAAGCCTTACCTCTTCATAATGTTTCACGAGCTCATCGGTATCCAGATTACTGCTTCCTTCTTCTTTGCATTCTGTTTTTCTCCTCTTTGGAGTCATTCTAAAGGCAGTGACGTGAATGGAATTACCAATCAATTCACCTTGATGTAACGAAGCGGCGAGAAAATCAGTAATCA